TTCGCGGAATTTCATTTATCACTGTAGGGTCTAGAACCGATTAACCGCGATAAACGAGGGTTCACTGTAACTGTACAGGGCCGGAATCCCCACTGGATGGCGGTGAGTTCTGGTTTTGGGGACCAAATCATGCAAGCGACATGCTTGGTCACGCTCTTTGCTTGACCGTGGTAAGCTGGGGCCAAACCCTCAAAGTCTTGGGGGTCCCGCCTATCTCAGCAGGAAGTGGGCAGTGACTTGGGACTGGAGGTGGGCTTTCTTCTGGTCATCGCGACCCTCTCTAGGGTTTCCAAGGTTTTGCGACTCTTTAGGGGAGCAGACAGCCACGTCTTTCTTCCGCGGATTGGCGGGTGGGTTTGAAAACCCCCCCTTCGGTTCGTCATCCAGTGGTTGCCGGACAGCGCCACCAAACTTTCCAACTCCAACCTCACTGCCATCTAGTGGATTCTGTTTCCTAAGGACCCTAGTCTTGTCGGTTTCCAATGCTGTGAATGCTGATGGGAGGAGAAACGAGAAGCTGGTGGTCTCGAACTCCTGGCCTTAGGTTAACAGCCCAGCTCAGAACCTTATGTAACGGAGCGCAGACCTTTGGCGCCACCCAGGGCTTCATTTCGCCTCAACACTTCCTCCTGCTGGACAGATCGCAGCTACATCTGTGCATCTCAGAGGAAGGGGCTATGGGAACCTGGTTTGTTGAGTGACTGTTTCACTCGCGATTCCACGCCCCCCCCCAGCCCACCCTCCATCCCAGGTACCTTTGATCTTCTCGCCCTTGCTCAGGGAGATCTCCCCCTCGCCTTGTGCCTGGTAGGACTTCACGGCCATGAAAGAGCGTCCGGGAACCGCAGAGTAAAGCTTTCTCCGCCGCCCGCGACTGCCCAGGGAGCCCCCAGGGCCCCCCGAGCCCCCTGTGCCTCCGGCAGGCCCTTCTCGGGGCGTCCCGCTGGAGCTGTGTACACAGAGGGTGTGAGAGGCAGGGGACGAGTGGAGGGAAGGGGCACCGCTGGGGGAACAGGGGTCCTTGGGGTGGGTGGAGCATCAGGGAAGGGGAGGGGATTTGAGTGTGCTTCGCAGCTCTGACATTGGAGAAAGGGCGGCGTTTGGGGGTTCCCGCTATCTTCCTGATGGCCTCTCTCCCTGCCCTGCCAGCCCTCCTCTACCTATTGCCTTCTCGCTTTGGGCCCAGATTCCCCGCTGCTTCCCCACCCCCAATCTCTAGCCCCTCCCCCAGATTTGGCCTCTGGCCAGACCCCCAGGTTCCTCTGGGTCAGGGCCAGCTCCTCCAACCCCCTAATCAGCCTTTCCACCTCCAGTCCCTCCCCTTCTATCCCCACCACCAGCCTGGATCTCCAACTCCCTTTCCCTCTCCTCCAAACTTAGAACTGGCCCCCTCTCCACTCACATTCCTATCTCCCCATTTCTCCCTTAACCTCTTCTGTCTTCTTTGCGTCCCCCAATGCCAACCCCTGCAACTCGGGCACAGACCCTGAGTGGGGGTGTCTACCCATTGCTATTTGGAGGTCCCACCTCTGTACTCTGGCCTTGGGTTGAGGGTTCAAGCAGGGCTCTCCTGTCCTGTTTTCTCAAGGGGTGGGGTGGCAGAGAGAGTGATGGGGGGGGGGCACCAGAGACTTGGATGGGTGGAAGTCATGGGGACAGGAAGTGGGGAGCTGGGCTGAATGGGGCACTCGGAGGCCGGGGTGCACCCATCCCTTACCTGGGCCGTCCTCGGGCCTGCCTCTTGGTCTCCTCAGGGTGTCTCCCGCGGGAGGGGGAGCGCGCCCGGGCTCCGCGGGGGCTGCTGGCACTTCGGAGGGTCCCGCTGCTGAGCTTGGTGCTGGGGGCTGGGGGCTGGGACGAGCCCTGGGGCCCTGAGGTTGGGCCGGGGGTGCCTGAGGAGGAGGCCCCGGGCGCTGAGAAAACCATCCAGTCGGGCAAGGCCATGCTGGTGTCACTGTTGGCGCGGAGCAGCGCTGGGGGTACTGTCAGCCCTGCGCTCTGGGCTCCGCGACGCCGGGCTGCGTACTTGGGGGACTCTTGGAAGGGCACTGAGGGACACAAGGCGTTGGGGGAGAGAGAAAGAGGAAAGCATTACAAACATCGGTGGAGATCAGAATGGACAAGGGAGCTTACAATCACTCCTCCTGACCCGCAGGAGTCCCTGGATGGTGCGATCAACGAATGCGCTCAGTGCAACCCAAAGGCTGGAGGTTTGAGACCACCCAGAGGCGCCTTGGAGGCGAGAGACTGGCAAGCTGTTTTTCAAAAGATCGACCACGGGGAAGAGTTAGGGGTGCAGTTCCACTCTGGTCCGCAGGGGCCGCAGGAATTAGAATCGACCGGTTGGTCGCTAGTTTGCATTAGAAAGAGCTCTGTTGACCTTGTTCTGTAAGCTTGGGGCTGCTAACGGCAAGGTCTCAAGGTCGAAGGTTTAAACCCAACAGCTGCCGGGAGAGAGAAAGATGAGGGTGTCTGCTCCGGTGAAGTTATTCACGGTCTCGGTTTTCCAAGACTGTTACTCTTTACAGGAGCGGAACCTCTTGTCCTTCTCTGTAGAGCGCAGTCCAACCCATAATCCACTACGCAACTAGGACTCGGTGACAATAAGGTTTCGTTTTGGATGAGTTAGAACGGGCTCTATGGCAGTGGGTTTCTATTCGTTTCTCTCTCTTTCTCTTGTATATTATGCTGCTAACGCCAAGATCAGTAGTTCGAATCCCCCAGCTGCACCTCGGGAGAAAATTGAGGCTGTCTTCCTATAGAAAGATTTACAGCCTCAGACACGCAGAGTGGCAGTTCTACTCTGTCCTCAGGGGTCCCTGTGAGTCACAGATTCTCAGGCAGTGGGGTTGGCCTTTTGGGTTCGTTTGTATTATGATGATAATTTTGGCTTTTCTGCTTCGACAGCTACTCCTATCTCTGGGTGATGCAACTGCTGGTGTGTCCAGCCGCTAACCGAAAGGTGGGAGGTTCAAGATCACCTAGAGGTGCCTTGGAAGAGAGGCTGGGCAAGCTGCGATTAGATCGGCCATGGGGGTAAAAGAACAAAACAAAAACTCCCTAGAGCTGTGGTTCTCAACCTTCCTCATGCCTCGACCCTTTCATACAGCACCTCATGTGGTGGTGACTCCCAACCATACAATTATTTTAGCTGCTACTTCATCACTGTCATTTTGCTACTGTTATGTATCGTCGTGTAAATAGCTGACAGGCAGGATGTGTTTTCATGGTTACAAATTGAACAGAATTTAAACATAATGAAAGCATAGTGATTAATCACAAAACAATATGTAATGATAGATTGTGAAATATTGATGTGTTTTCCGATGGTCTTAGGCGACCCCTGTGAAAGCGGCATTCGATCCGCTAAAGGGTCGCGACCCACAGGTTGAGAACCGCTGCCCTAAAGGGTATAGTTCCACTATGGAATGTAAGGGGGCGCCTCTGCAGCAACTGGCCAACGGGTTCTAGCTGCTGTACGGCTGGGTCCGGGGAAGGGTTAACGAGCCGGGCTGCCAGGGAAAAACTGGCAGCTTGAACCCCAGCACGGCTGCCTTGGAAGCACGGCATTGACAATGCTTCCAGAAAAATAAAAAGCCGAACTCCTAAACCAAACTCATTAATTGATCCCAACTCACAGCAACCCTAGAGGATTGAGTAGAATTGCCCCTTTGGGTTTCTGACACGATAACTCCTGATGGGAGCAGAAAGCCTCATCTGTCTCTCGCGGAGCGGCTAGTGGGTTCGAACCACTGACCTCGTGGTTAGTAGTCGTCACTAAATGCCCTCTGCAGCACAGTTCCACTCTGACACACATCATCGGGGTGCAACAAACCAGAGTCAAGTTAGATGGCCACTCATTGGCTGGTTCTACTCAGGTTCATGCCTCACCCAGGATTTCCTCCAACCCTTCCTGCCCACCCTCCTCACTATCAGGCCCTCCCATTCACCAATGCTGTACCCTGACCCCCAACTGCTCTCCCTTTTCCCCTATGATCCCTGGGGTTCACTCACCCACATCCTGTTCTCGATGACTTCTGATTAACTCCCCCAGCTCAAAATTCCCAGCAATCACTGCTACCTAGAGGGAGAGGGGTCGGGGTGGGGACAGAGGGACATCATGAGGGCCCGGCCAGCCCCTCTCTCCCCAAACATTCCTCTCCAGCAAGCCCCTCCTTTCTCCTCTCCCAGCACCCCTCCATGTCACCCCCTCTCCCGTGTCCCCCATGCAACACCAGCCCCTGCAGCCCCAGACCTGGAAGGGCGTTTGGCCGTTGTTGTTCTTGACGTCTTTGTTGGCCCCTCTGTACAGCAGGATCCTGGCGCAGGTCTCCTGCCGAGAGCCCGGGAAGCACAGAGGGGAGGCACAGCAAAGACAAGGTCACCTGAGCGCCCAGGACTGGGCTCAGAGCTTCAAGGACCATCAGCCTGCACTGTCCAGCCCTGAGCTTGGGCCATGCAGTCTGGCCCACGCCGCCTTGGGCTCGGCGTGTGAAGAGGAGCCCTGGTGGCTCAGCGCTGAGCTACTCAAGGAAAGTTGGTGGTTCGAACCCACCCAGGAGCAGAGGTGCCTGGCGGCCTGCTCCAGAAAGGAATTCTCCTCTGCTCCGTGGAAGAGGAGGAATCAGACTGGGTATGGTGGAATGTAAAACCAGGTTCTGCTCGGTAGACCTTTCCCTCAGTCATTCACCCTCCATGGAGTGGACTACGGAGTGGATTCTGACTCATGGTGACCCTCTAGGACAGGGTGCACTGCCCCTGTGGGTTTCCGAGGCTGTCCATCTTAACGGGATAGAAAACTTCATCTTGGTCCCTTGCAGGGACTGGTGGTTTTGAACAGCCGACCACATGGTTAGTCGCCCCGTGCACAGCTCATGATGCGATCGGAACTCTTTTACATAGCACAGCAGTGTTCACTTCTATCTGACCCAAACTTAATTGACCTACTAACTCCTTTGCAGGGAAAAAAAATTACCCTGCACCCCTCTGCCAGAGAAAAACTTGTACTGTAGCCCATAAAGGTGCACTGGGAAATCCATAGGGGCAGCTTTAGTCTGCCCTTTGGGGTCGCTAGGAGTTGAAATAGAGTCTATAGCAGCGGGTTTGATTTTGAGTTTTGTACCTTGGAGGGAAACCAGTAGCTCTGGCCTCTGTCCACTAGATATCAATGATACTGCCCCCTGCTCCGTCTGAAAAACTCAGTCTTGCTTCTAACTCACAGCGACCCAAAGGACAGGGCAGAACTGGTCCTGTGGGTTTCCATGACTGTCAGCTTTTACGGAAGTCGGAAGCCTCATTTTTCTTGCGAGGAGCGGCTGGTGGAGTTGAACTACTGACCTTGTGGTTAGCAGCCCAACCCTGTCATCCACTTAGGTTAAGGGGGCTCCTTCTCCAAAGGTGAGGATAATGCCAGACATTGACAAATGTCCTCCAGGGGGCAGTAGCGCTCCAGTTGACAGTCGCTACCTACCTACACCTTAATCGAGGGCTGGACCAATAGGGAACATCCCTATGAATAGAGAAAAGACTGAAGTTGCCAAGGATCTCATCTGGCTTGGATCCGCAATCAATGTTCGTGGGGGCGGCTGTCAAGAGCTCAAAGAACACATTGCGTTGGGTCAATCTGTGGCCCATGATTGTTTTCAAGGGTTGAAGAGCAAGGATGTGGCTCTGAGGATTAAGGGGTGCCTGACCCAAGCCAGGCTTATTTTCACTGGCCTTATAAACAAATGAAAGTCGAATACGAAAGGCCAAAGAAGGATCGATGCATTTGGATGATGGTGCCAGCGAAGACAATGGAAAGGGGATGTCAGAAGGACAGATAAATCCGTCCTGAAAACAGTACAGCCAGGAGGATCCTTAAGAGCAAGGATGACTCACCGACTCGGAACATGTCATCAAGAGGGACCCGTTCCTGAGGAAGGGCGTCATGCTGGGTCATCGAAAAAGAGGAAGGCTCTCCGTGAGATGGGTGGACACCGCCGCTCCCACCACAGGCTCAAGCTTAGGGACAATGGTGAAGATGATCCAGGAGCAGGCAGAGTCTCGCACTGTGGTACGCTGAGGGGGCTGTGAGCCGGAGCAGAGCCCGGGACAATCAAAAACAAGGCTGGGATGCCAAAGCCTTTGTTCATCAACAGCCCTCCACGAGGCCGAGAAAGAAGAGGGCAGTAGGGGCTGAGAGGGCAGGTGCCATCTCACGTTGATGAGTCCCTCGCCAAGAGCCACCATAACATGCCCCTCACCATCCTCGAGCCAAACCCAGGGCCTTTGCCCTTGCCTAGGAGATCTCACCAAGATGCCTTGCGGCGGGTAAGCCTGCTGCATAAGCTCTCTTTCAAGCGCTGATGATGGGCCACGGTGTCCCTATGAGGGCTGAGGGGCACCTGGTCTGAGCCATGGAATCTCCCATCTCCTCCTGTGCGTGGGAAAGTTGGACGTGGGATAAGGAAGACCTGTGGATGCCTTTGAATGCTGGCACTGGCAAAGAATGGTGAGAGGCCCACGGCCTGCCAAAGAGACAGACAGACAGACACACACACACACACACACACACACACACACACACACAGCCAGCACATTCCGTAGAATGGAGGAAGACGGTGAGCCTTCATCTCGCGGCCTCTGCACATGTCGTCGGGAGAGATCGGTCCTTGGAGGACATCAGGCTTGGTCAAGCACAGGGCCAGTGACGAGCCGGATGGACACGGTGGCTGTGCCAATGACCATCAACCTAAGAACGATTGTGAGATGGCGCTCGCAGGGCCGGCGGTGTTTCTTGCTGTCGTCCAGGGCTCCAGGATGGTTGCTGTTAATTGCTTGGCGGCTAATCAGAAGCCTGATGATTGGACAACATCACCCACTACCACCACCGCCCCCCCCCAGCGCCTTTGTGGAACAAAGACCAGGCCGTCTCCTCCCCTCAGAGGTGACAGTTAAGAAACCCCGATGGGGCCTCAGTTCTAATCTCACCCAGGGGCCAATATGGGTCAAAAATCGCCTCCCAACAGCCACCATGGAGCCTAACTGGTGTTTCCTTGGTCTCCCCTTGTTGTTTGAGCTCAGGCAGACATTTGCTCCCCGGTCTCCTGGTTCTTCGAACATTCCAGATTCACTCCTGCCCCAGGACCCTGGCACTTCCTGTGCCCTCTGCTTGGAATTCGACTTGCCCTCGGGTCTCCGGATGAAGAGCCTTCCTGGTGCAGCAGTTATGTGCTCAGTGGCCAACCAAAAGGTTGGCGGTCCGAACCCAGCCAGCGGCTCCACGGGAGACAATCCTCCCTGGTGAGCTGCTTCTGCAAAGCCAACCGTTTAGAAAAGTTGGCAGTGCACAAGTCAGCCCCGACACACGGGGCGCTGTGAGTCAGCATCGCCGCAGCGTTCCCAGCCGGATTGCCACGTGGTGGCTCAACACTGGAGAGTCATGACAACGAAACCAAACAGTTCCATAGGGCTGCGAATTGCCGGGTCAGCAGTTCAAAACCACCAGCCGTGCAGAAGGAGAAAGATGAAGCTTTCTACTCCATGAAGAGTGGCAGTCTCGACACACTGGATGGATGTATGGATTGTGATAAGAGATGTAAGAGCTCCCAAGAAAAGTATTTAATAATAATTTTAAAAAAAAACACAGAGTTACAGCTTGGGAAACCCACAGGGAGCAGTTCAACCCTGCCCTATAGGGCCGCTGGGAATTGGAGTTGGCTCAAGAGCTGTGAGTTTTTTTGGGATTTTTTTTTTTTTTAGGAATGAGATATTATTACTGATTTCATTCGAAAAAATGGGTGACACGAGGTCACCAGGAGATGAACATCACCCCCTAACAATAACCGTTTAGCCCCCCTGGTGGCGCAGCGGTTACCTCTTGGGCTGCTAATTGAGGGGTCAGCCTTTGAAAACCACCAGCTGTGGACAACGATAAGGCTTTCTACTCCAGGAAATACTTAGAGCCTCAGAAACCTCACAGAGGCAGTTCGACGCGGTTCCATAGGGTCACTGTGAGTCCGATGGGACGGGACTCGATAGCAGTGAGGGAGATTTATTTTTACACACAGCCAACCAGTTACCCTAGTCAATAGAGTCATACATAGATCTTATGGTTTCCCAGGGTATCTGAAGGTTGTGACCAAATGCAAGACTCCCCCACTGCCGTCAATCCCAATGCATAGCGACCCGATAGGACAGGGTCGAACTGCCCCTGTGGGTTTCTGAGACCCTAACTCTTTAGGGAACAGAAGGTCTTGTGGTTTC